TTAACGGTCAGTGATACTACTAACTACAAGTAGAATAATGTCAACTCGCATGTACCCTTTAAGTGGGAGTCATGTCCGGTACTGTATAGTTTATATTACAAATCGACACAGATCTCTTTCTTCTTCTTCTGCGTTCAACATCAGTCATGCTAAACATTGAATCCCGTCTGGATCACAAATAGGATTGTGCGTTTAAGGTCGCCACCGGTCCCCCATAGCTTCTCTTTCAATGTGGATCCCTTGGGCCAGATCCACAGTCTTTGCTGGGAGAGGTTGGGGCAGTGCTGCAGTATGTGCTCAGGGGTCTGTCTTTCTGCTCCACAATCACAGGCAGCAGATTCTTTAATGCCTATCCTGTACAGGTGTGCTCGAAGACCACAGTGTCCAGTCCGAAGTCTAAAAATTGATGTTTGTTCTTTCCTGTTGAGTTTGTTTATGCTGCCACTCTCTGGTCTGTAATCTCCATTCTGCCTTCTAAACAGATCTCCGATTTTTCATTTAGTAAATTTTAACAGCTGAACAACACACTATGAACTCAACACCATACACGGTGCAGTCAATTTTTGTTTTGTTTTAATTTTCTGCAAAATCCATTTGTTGAAGTTGAGGTCAATGTTTTGAAACGTTATAACTTATTAATTATTTATTAAAAGCCTGTCTCTAATAGATCTGCCATTAATAATGTGGAAAAGGGGGAAGGGGTCATAACAGCATGCAGGAAAAGTTTAAAATATGTTTTAATACATCAATGTTGAATAATATTAGGTCGGCGAGGCGCACAAAATAATGTCAACAACAGAATGTAGCTGACTTCTGCTACAGAGAGTCAGACGGAAAAGGACAAGGTTTGTCTGGTTAGAAATGCCGTTATAGCAGGTATTCGAAAATTAATGCTATAGAAAGTTGACTAATGTGTTAAAAATTGATATTATAATGACAAAAATGTAACTCACTTCATAGAACATAAGGAGAACTACGCCGTATTTGTAAGTCCATATCTTTGGACCGATCTCCCATCACACCAAACATCTGCCATCTTGAATCGTAATGGCCTCAAGTGTTGCCACTTTTCTTTGACAAAAAATATCCAAAACGGTGTCAAAAAATATCTAAAAAGATCTAAATCTGCGTGGAAAAGATCTAGAAAAAACTTCCAAAATGAAAAGTCAAAAATTACATAGCTTTTGTTATGACTTACCCTACATAATCATGTCCTAACCTTCACTGATGTCTGCCTCACAAGATCCACAGGATAAACTTAGCTTGGATAATGAAGTTGAAGCTTCAGATCCAAAATGACCCTGGTATGCTTTAGCTGTTCGAAGTTCTTTATAAGTGGAACGGTAGGCTTATTTCTCTAATCTCATCAGGCCGAATTTTAATGGCACGATAGCGTTTAAGAGGTCAAATTTCATCCGGTTTTTTTAGGCTAGATTTGATATAATTCCTAGCACTGAAAACTCTTTCTACGTCAGCATTTGAGTGGGGTAGTATCATGGTAGACAATGCACTTTAAAGAGCTTACAGAATGGACTTGTTGAGGCATCTTTAAATTGTCTCACTTCACCCCAAAACGCTTTAGTTTCTGTTTTGTTTGTCCATTCAGCTAACTTTATTTTGGTTAACTGATATTCTGGTTCCGCGACACTATTATCAGTAGCCCCTAAAAATTTCATAACTTTACAATATATGGGTATGTCCTTTATTGGCTAAAGTATGTTGCTCACAGAAAAAAAGTGAAATACTTTTCAAAACATCTAGATTTTCAGGAAGTCTCTGCTTCAATTGCTTCAATAATTAGATAATGAGATCTTGACAGCGTTTTCTTAAGTTGTTCTCTTCATTCTCTGTTAACAGTCCTTTTGTTTTTAAATCATCAATTTTTGATTCGATTTAATATCCAAGGTGTGGCTTAGGAGCCAAATAGCTCTCTATAGTGCAAGTGAGCAAATCAGCTTTAGAAGTTGGCAACACCAGTCTTTTACAATATATAGCATGGTGAGATCATCAAGTAATTTAACTTTATCAACAAGTTTAGAATCGAACAGTTTATTAACTTTTTGCACTGCCATTAGAATAGGTTATAAAAAGAGAATGAATGACAAATTTGTTTCATCACTGTACATTCCATGTAGTATTTCAGCTGTGTAGCACTTTTCACTTTGTCTTATTATTTCAAAGTGTGTCTTTAACTTCAGCCATTGCTTCATAATTCTTTCAACAGCTGGTTAAATTGATAACCATCTAGTTTTGCAATCTGACAGAATTTTCGGTGGTGTGGAACCATCATTCAAGGCTGTATTGTATTGCTGTTGTCTGATAAATGATTTGGAAAACCAGTAAAGTGTTTCAGCAATAAGGTATTCCAAATTCCTTGGTAAATATTTAGATGAAGCATGTGATAATGCTAGCTGCAATGAATGACGCATACATTTTACAGGTATTAACGATGGGTTAGCTTCCTTCAACTTGGCATAAACGCCATTGTTTATACCAACCATCACTGTGGCATTATCAGTACCAATTACAGATAAATTCTTTAAGTCTAACTGTTTGCTGATTAAAAGGTTCTGCAGTTCCTAAACTATACTTTCTGCATCACACTTTTTAAATTGAACTAGTCCAAGATTTTTTACAAATCGATAAAATGGTCACAGTTTGAAATTGTGCAGTGACAAATTAAAAACATTGCGACTGATACTTCAACTTTTGATGATTCATTTATCAGTATAGTAACCCGTTTGCTATGAAGCTGAAATTAAAATTACCAGGTGACCAGAATACCAGATCAGTATAGTTCTGAAAACAGATGTCGGCGGTGTAAAATCTTTAAATGAAACTGCAGTTTTATGCTTTTTTAGTCTCTGCATGACTCTTTGAGTTTTGTATTTTCGCTTTAATTTCACACTTGCAGTACTTACAACAAGCTTTGGTCATATCCCAAGTTTTTAATTTTGTCATCATGCAACCACTCTTTCTAAATTTTTTGCTCATACTTTACTTTTGGCATATTGAAAGGTTTTTTCAAAGTGAAAGCCACATAAGAAGGTAAGCAATTATTTTTTTTTTAAATCACATGAAAAAGAAACGCAAAGTCAGCACAGTGAGGATACGGTTGAAACAAAGTTAGTATGATTTACGCGCGTTTTTATTAATCAGTACCGGGGCTGCCAGATATTTGTGCGTTGACCCCAGTGAGAGTTCAAAGTTCAAGTAATGGCAGTTGTCACAATGTACGTACCAGACCAAAAGAAAAATATTGTAGTAAATATTTTACACAGTAATTATTAAATTGACAATGAAAGGAAAGAAATCTATAAAATATCTAACTCCATATGAAAAGTAACTAGAAAAATATTTACGATCTAAACGTCAAAAACAGTATCTAAATGCAATGAAAAAGATTTAAATTTGGATATAAAAGATTCAAATTGGCAACACTGGGCCTCAATCCTCAGATAGCCAGGTGGGGCAAGGAGACGATGGGAAACCCCCGAGGCCATCATAGTAACGGTTACATGTCACATAATTAGGGCTTTTTCTTGCTACAAACAACGATAGGCGGTACCGGCACCTTGTTGGTTTAAGGTAAGCGCCGGCACTTTTGTTTTTCTAGGGGGCAAAAACGCAACCTGTTTGCAATGATGGCAAGATGGGTGTTCCGCATATCGCAGTATATAGATGTTCACACATGTCAACATTTTCCAATTCTGTCGTTAAGCGTTGTCGGGAGGAATAATTTGCGATCCATTGCTTGATGAGCAGCATTGACTATTTTCATTCCGTTTCGATGTAGAAGCTCTTTAATGCTACCAATCCATGTTTTACTATGGCGGTCCTCTTGATTTTACTTCAGATCTTTTCGTGTGTTTCATGTTTAAATGTTGAAGTTGTATGTTTCCAGTATGGGTTCTGATGCATCGGTGGAGGAGGGGAACAAATAAAACTAAGTCCCCCCCCCCCTTCCACTTTTTTATAATTTTAATATAATTTCAGTTTTAACATATGCATGTGAACGTTAAAGAACCACGTTAGACAGTCAAGGGAAATTAAATGCCTGAGGTTTGAAGATGTTTGAGGTTTAAACAACGCATCATCATCATGGCACACGGGTAGTAACCCATTAGTGCTCTGATCTTCTTCTAACTCAATCCTGAGTCAGGAAAAGCTAAGCACAGTGCACAGGTTGTGTAGCACCAGGGCGGATCCTGAAATACTTTGGGTAGATTTTAAACTCCAAATTGTGCAAGGGCAGCGCCGATGGTCTACTCTTTTCGATTTCCAACTGCCGGGGGATTTTTTTTACGTGTGCAACAATGCACACTGGCGGGAAAATCTCACTATCCAGAGACCAGAGGTAATTACTAGAAGTCCAAGTCCACGTGAAAAAATCCCAGCCCTGACCGGGGATTGAACCAGGAACCTCTAGCACTCGAAAACCACAGACTGGGATATGTGGAGATGCATGAATGCCTACGCTATCGAGCAAGGCACTCGATGATGATGACCCTGTATGAAGTACAACGGTACAACATGATGATGGTGACGATCAAAATGATAATCAGCGTGCTGTTTATATTCTTCTTTTTCTTCGGCATTCCGAACCCTTAAGGTTCATCGCTGCAGATATCACCCGCCTCTACTCATCTCTCTGGCAGGCCTTCTCTTTCCAGTTGGTAACACCAAGTTCTTGCAGGTCTCTCTTGACATTATCCCTCCATCGTCCTTTTGGTCTCTGTCATCTGACATTCTTAAAAATATTGGGAGACAATGATATAATAAAAATGCGTCTCGACAAAAGTCAAAAAAAGTTGCATCCCGACTGGGTCATCGAATAGGATCACCCGCGTGGTCAGCCACGAGGTCCCCCATACCTTCTCTCGCAATGATGCTCCCTAAGCCAGTGTTACAGTTTGCTATATAAAGCATTAAAAATTTTCCATGTAATCATAAAATATTCACTTCAGTTCATAGTAAACGAAACACAACACATTTCCAACATGGATCCTATCAACAGGACACAGATCACTGTGTCCATTTGAAGTCATACCTAATTGTTGTTTGTAATTTCCAAAAAGTAATGTTATATGTCGGAATATCTTATTCTTAATATACATGTGCCTTCTCGAAATTAAAAAGAAATTTCTTGTAAATCATGAATGAACTCAAAAAAAAAAATGAAAAAAAGGCAGCAAATCTTACTCTTAAAATCGTGCGGACTGACTTGATCGTCCCCAGGTGGGATTTCTTTTTTTTTTTTATTTTCTTTTTATTTGTGGGTGGTTGGGGGGAGGGGGGGGGGAATATACCCACTGTCACCTCAAACAAGTACAATCAGACAGTTACTGGTACCATCGGAATTTGAACTCTTCACTTGTTGCTGAAGAGATGGGGACGGAGCACTTGTGGGAGTGTCCCGGGTGCTGTTATGTGGATTCTTGATTCAACTTTCGTAGAAATCACTGACGAGAGGTGTTTCCATTGAATTGGGAAGGCATCTGCCTGCGAGGCAAGCATACAGTCTGCGGCTCTCCTTTAAATAACGGTCGCTAGCTGGAAGGTGACAACCGCTTAGTCGGAGTTCACTCCCTTTGCTGCAGTGCAAATACGGAGCGGACAAGTCACGAATCAAACAACAAAGTGAGGTCGACATGTCTGCTAGAGCTAGACCACGCGCTGCGACTGACAGTAGCGACCGCGTTCTTTCGACGCAAGACTCTCGTAGACCACGCCCTGCGACTCAAATTAGCGACCGCGTTCTTTCGACGCAAGACTCTCGTAGACCACGCGCTGCGACTCACACTAGCGACCGTGTTCTTCCGACGCACGACTTAGTGACCGTAGATGTGAGACCTGCGGATCTGTATGTCGTAATGAGCGATAAGCTTCCGTCGTTTCCGTGATGTGTCACCCTAACCCTACCCCTAACCCTGCCCCACAACCTAACCCTAACCCAAATCCTAACCCACACCCTAAGCCTAACCCTAGGATGACAGGTAACTATACCAATTGTTTCGTTCCCTCTTTACCACTCTATTTGCACTGCAGCCAAGGGAGTGAACTCCGACTAAGCGACCGTTGCCTTCCAGCTAGCGACCGTTATTTAAAGGAGAGCCCAGTCTGCATACAAGTAGGCCAGATCTGTAAAACTGATTTGCATGCAGAATTGAAGCTCTAGAACAATAGTAAAGTCTAGAAGTGGACGAACAACCAAAACTTTCTGCCTTAGGTTACAGCCGGTGAACACAAAGAAAAACAAAACATAATTGCACCGGGTTTAGCCCATATGGCTCTGGATCTCTCCCCTGACTAGAACATTGCACAAAGCACGAGCCCTGTGATTCCAGTGAAGGGGCCCAAGGGATCTCTGTAAAAACTACTCTCAAACTCAAAGTAACATGTCCGTGACTCAAACCTAGGACCTTCAGAGCACAAAATTAATTACTTGACCACTTTGCCATCTAGCACACTAACCAATAGTCCAGTATTGGTGGAACCCTGTTTAACAGTACGGCTATCTAGTACAGTAACCTTCAGTCCCATGTTTGTGATTGCAATGGTCTGGGGAGGTTTTTGAGGAATCTGGGATTTGCTCTGTAGGACTATCATCCCCAGGATGTATCTGAAAGTTGCAGGGGTGGGCAAGCCTACAGTATCGAAGCTGGCACCCCGGCATTATGAAGAAAACAACTAGAACAAGAAGACTTACATATTAAAAATTAAAGTAAAATATCCCTTTTCATCATCATGCCAGCCATCTTTACTTCTGAGGACATTTCTTTGTACTAATTTTTAGGCTGGGTTGACAAAGGAACTAAGGTCAAATTTAAAGGAATGAATGAAGCTGAAAGCAGGTTTGAACCCGTACCTTCAAGCACGCAGAGGAGCTACTACACCAAGGCGGTTCCCGCTCTTACATATCAGATAAATTGTATTTTTATAAGCTTTTTTTAGGTTTGATTTTGTTTGTTTGTTTGTCTGGTACAATTGTTTTAATCAATTTAAACAACAAACAACTGTATTCTGGGTCTGTAGGTGGACTGGTCAGATCCCTGGTTCTCTGCATTGCTGGGCTTTCACATCCTAACATTCTTGGTCACCTTCATCACCAGGAGGAGACAGGTGCTACAGGTGGTTCACTTCGGGGCTTTGTGTAAGTGTTGCAGTCTTTGTTGGGTGTCAGTGAGGTACACATTGCTGCCAGATATTACAGAGAAACGAATGTCTCTCTGTGTTCCCAGGATCACCAAGGTGTCCACGACATGGAGGTGACAGCTATTAAATCAAGCCATTCCAGCGACAGAGTCCGCAAGTCTCTTGAGAATCGCTTGATTTATACTCTTGGGACTTTGACGCCCTCCGGAATAAATTGCCAACACAGTTTCATTTAAACTTCCAGGGGATTGAACTGCCCTCACAGTTTCAATCCCTACACCCCAGTTATGGCCCCTTATACTCCACAGGGGATGTATTTATTCCCCTAGCAGACATGTGTGGTCATTCTGCTGAATAATAACCGACCTGGCCGCATCGAGATACCAGCTAAGTGATTTTGTGTATCTGTGTAGTATTGTTTAATTTGTATGTGCTGATGAAGGCTCCATAGCTGCAATATTCCCGTTTTGTTTGTATTTCTTATATTGTGAAGCTTGCTAATATACTTTTTGTTCGGGTTTATATCTTTTCTGTGTTACTGTGTGGTTCTGTAGGTTAGGGATTAGTGAATGCATTTAACACCAGTGTAATCCTCAAGTACCAGGTTCGATTTCTGCAACAAACAGCTATTTTATTTCTCCAACTTTTTGGGAGGGAAAGTGGTACGCGAGTTGCACTGTGAAAAAGATTGTGTTTCACCAAATAATATTCCAAAGACAACAGTGGATACAGTATAGCCAAACTGCATTCCTGAGACAGCACAGAATCTGTGTGACCATATGATGCAGTGAAAATATGTGTCCATCTGTGTGACCATATGGTGCAGTGAAAATATGTGTCTATCTGTGTGACCATATGGTGCAGTGAAAATATATGTCCATCTGTGTGACCATATGGTGCAGTGAAAATATATGTCCATCTGTGTTACCGTATGGTGTAGTGAAAATATATGTCTATCTGTGTGACCATATGGTGCAGTGAAAATATGTGTCTATCTGTGTGACCATATGGTGCAGTGAAAATATGTGTCTATCTGTGTTACCATATGGTGCAGTGAAAATATGTGTCTATCTGTGTTACCATATGGTGCAGTGAAAATATGTGTCTATCTGTGTTACCATATGGTGCAGTGAAAATATGTGTCTATCTGTGTTACCGTATGGTACAGTGAAAATATGTGTCTATCTGTGTGACCATATGGTGCAGTGAAAATATATGTCTATCTGTGTTACCGTATGGTACAGTGAAAATATGTGTCTATCTGTGTGACCATATGGTGCAGTGAAAATATGTGTCTATCTGTGTTACTGTATGGTGCAGTGAAAATATGTGTCTATCTGTGTGACCATATGGTGCAGTGAAAATATATGTCCATCTGTGTTACTGTATGGTGCAGTGAAAATATATGTCCATCTGTGTTACCATATGGTGCAGTGAAAATATGTGTCTATCTGTGTGACCATATGGTGCAGTGAAAATATATGTCCATCTGTGTTACCATATGGTGCAGTGAAAATATGTGTCTATCTGTGTTACCATATGGTGCAGTGAAAATATATGTCTATCTGTGTGACCATATGGTGCAGTGAAAATATGTGTCTATCTGTGTTACCATATGGTGCAGTGAAAATATGTGTCCATCTGTGTGACCATATGGTGCAGTAAAAATATGTGTCTATCTGTGTGACCATATGGTGCTGTGAAAATATGTGCCCATCTGTGTTACCATATGGTGCAGTGAAAATATATGTCTATCTGTGTTACCATATGGTGCAGTGAAAATATATGTCCATCTGTGTTACCATATGGTGCAGTGAAAATATATGGTCATCTGTGTTACCGTATGGTGCAGTGAAAATATATGTCCATCTGTGTTACCATATGGTGCAGTGAAAATATATGTCTATCTGTGTTACCATATGGTGCAGTGAAAATATATGTCTATCTGTGTTACCATATGGTGCACTGAAAATATGTGTCTATCTGTGTTACCATATGGTGCAGTGAAAATATGTGTCCATCTGTGTTACCATATGGTGCAGTGAAAATATGTGTCTATCTGTGTGACCATATGGTGCAGTGAAAATATGTGTCTATCTGTGTGACCATATGGTGCAGTGAAAATATGTGTCTATCTGTGTTACCATATGGTGCAGTGAAAATATATGTCCATCTGTGTTACCATATGGTGCAGTGAAAATATGTGTCTATCTGTGTTACCATATGGTGCAGTGAAAATATGTGTCTATCTGTGTTACCGTATGGTATAGTGAAAATGTATGTCCATCTGTGTTACCATATGGTGCAGTGAAAATGTATGTCTATCTGTAATACCGTATGGTACAGTGAAAATGTATGTCCATCTGTATTACTGTATGGTACAAAGAAAATGTCTGTCTATCTGTGTGACCGTTTGGTACAGTAAAAATGTATGTCTGTTTTGGTTACCAGATAGTACAGTGAAAATGTATGTCTGTCCGTGTGGCCAGATAGTACAGAGAAAATGTCTGTTAGTGTAGTCAAATGGTACAAGGAAAATGTCTGTCTGTGTGTCCAGATAACGCAGAGAAAATTTATGTCTGTATACATATATGTGGACAGATGGTTCAGAGAAAATGTATGTATGTATATGTAGACAGATAGTTTGGCGAAAATGTATATCTGTCTGTGTGGACAGATGGTACAGTGAAAATGTACATCTGTCTGTGTGGCCAGATGGTACAGTGAAAATGTCTGTCTGTTTGTGTGGCCAGATGGTACAGTGAAAATGTCTGTCTGTCTGTTAACATAATTTACAGAGAAAATGCCCAACTGTCTTGTTTACTGAATGGTACAGAGAAAATGTCTGTTACCATAAGGTACAGAGAAAATGTCTCTCTGTCTATGTTACTGTATGGTACAGAGAAAATGTATCTCTGTCTATGTTACTATATGGTACAGAGAAAATGTCTCTCTGTCTATGTTACTGTATGGTACAGAGACAATTTATTTATTTCTGTTTGGCAAATTGGCAGTTATAAAACATGTATATGTCTGTGTTGCCACTTGTTATGTAGAAAAATACTTGTTTGATCTCAGAATTCACTTGTATCTGCTCCCACAGTTGTGTTAGTGTACAGTGCTGAAACCCTCAATGAGCTTGCGGCTAAGAATTGGAAGTAAGTGTGTATTTGTTCACCCCTCCTCCCCACCCACATCTTCTCTGTGTGGGTACTGTGGCCCCAATTTTTTGGAGACAAAAGAATCGACCCACTGCCCCTTAACAAAGGCATTAAACCACATCACAGTATTCTAACTGCTTTGTCGAAGGCGATCGCAGAAGTTTCTACTGATACGTGAAGTCTGATACAGTCATGAAGTCATTCAAAAAAAGTTCTGGTTCATCAATGGGCCACCTTCTGTTACCTTTTGTTGTTAACAACATGCATGCTCGGTCCTCATCTTCAGCAGCCAGCGCAAAGTTCTGATACTGATGGTACCGGTCACAATATGGTTAAAAGTCCGTCTTGCCTTTCCTCTGAGTGTAGTGAGCCGGCCAGACCCTCTGGTTACATCCAGGTGTCTCATTCTCTCCAGACCTTAATAATCTTCTTTCTCTACTGATTCTGTTGCTTGTTCCCAAATGGCCTTGACCACATCTGCCTTGTCATGTATCAATTCACCACACAGTGATGCGGATCCAGCCAATCTGTCTGCCTTTTCATTACCCACCACGCCAGCATGGCCTGGAGAAAAGATCCAAAGTATGCTCACCACCCGTGACCTTTCCAGTGAAGCTAGCCCCTCTGCTCGAAGTATCCCTGTCTTCACCTTTTTCAGCATGCTTTCAGAGTCTGTTACAATTACAACATGTGTATGCATCTTGTTCTCTAGCCACCGGAGAGCTGCGGTTACCACCTCCGCCTCCATTCTCATGCTAAATGTTAGGGTGTTGTATGCTAGGCTGTCTTGCCCTAAAGATTTTCCATTGGCTTTCGCTACGACCCCCCAAGCACTTCTCTTTCCTCTCAACACTGAACCATCTGTATAGATAATCAGATCACCTGAGCATAGGTATTGACTAGCCTACACTTGCCATGATTGTAAGTGACTCACAAAGCCTGCTGAGAAAGATGGAGACAGGTTTGCTGGGTGCAGAGTGGCTAGCATAATTTCACAGATCTAAGGTAGTTAGAGTCCTTTGGATATTGTCTCCACAGAGTACTAAATACAGAGTGCTAAATACAAGACAGAATGTGACTGGAAAACTCAGTGAACAGGTCAGCTGAGCTGCTAAACAGCAAAGAATGAACCAGATATACGTAATAGGAGAAAGTACGGACAGGAAGAGCAAGATTAAGAAACAAGACAACAACAAAAACAGGTGTTTTACATCATAGCTGGCGTATCTGCTGTGGAACACATAAGTGTGTTTGTATTGTCAAAATGTTTTGTCTGACATAAATCTATAATTCTGTCCGGTAGTTTCAAGTATTTAGTTGCAGAATGATTGATGTGTATCTTCTTCTTCATGTTCACTGGCTGTAAACTCCAGCGGAAAGTCTTGTTGTTCATCCACTTCTGGACTTGAGTCTCATTGCAAAACCTGAGTTTTGCATGTGAACCCATTGTACAAATCAGGCTTATTTGTATGCAGACTGTTGGTTACTTGTCTTACCTTGACTTACGACATGTTAGGGGCAATGAGTCTATTCTTTTTCCTTCCCCCATAATGAGTCCCTGGAACCCACATGGGAAGATGATGTGAATGATAATCTTTGCGTTCACTGGTTGTAAATTCGGCGGAAAGTTCTGGTTGTTCATCCACCTCTGGACTTTAGTATTGTTCTAGAACCTGATTGTTGCATGCATCTGACTTATTTGTGTGCAGTTGGTTCCTTGCCTCTCAGGAAGATGCACTCCGACTTCGAAGGAAGCCCCCAGATAGTCGACTCTTAAAACATGCTAGCTGGGGAGGCAGTGGGTCTATTCTTGTTTTCCTCACAATGGGGCCCCGGAACCCACACGGGGGATGTATGATATTGAAACAATGGCTCAGGACAGAACAGAATGAAGGATTAGTTTGTGAGGAGCTCCATGTGACATATAACAGCATGACAAAATCATAACATGTAGTGCGCCAGACTGACGTGGCCAAATGTAGCAACGATGCATGTAATTGAATCACCATTTCATCTGGTCTCCCCAGGTTGTTTTCCCGACAGCAGTACTTTGACAGCAAGGGCATGTTTATATCTCTGGTTTGGTCGGCTCCTCTGCTCGTCAACTGTTTGATCATTGTGGTAAGTGTCAGTTATAAGAGTCACAGTCAAGTATTTTCAGCATTGGCACTTAAAAGGGCAGTTGGGACATTGTATTGTGCTTTACAGCTAGTTTGCGGTATCTATGCCTGATTACCCCCTGCATCCAATTTTAGCAAACCCCTAGTTAGTAACCTTTCATGACCCCTTCTCCCTTAATGGAGCCTGGAATGAACCCGCATAGGGAAACAGCAAAGCAACATTTCCATTTTTATGCCGAGGCTTGTTAAGCAATAAAACCCCCCCCCCCCCCCCAAACCTCTTTGTTGTTGTTGTTTGTAATGACCTTCTGGCATTTGACGGGTGATTTGGTTTCTTCTTCTTCGCGTTCACCAGCTGTAAACTCTGGTGGAAAATTCTGGTTGTTCATCCACTTCTGGACTGCAGTCGTGTTCCAGAACCTGAGTGTTGCGTGTGCATCCGTTTGACAGACCTGACTCATTTGTATGCAGACTGCTGGTTCCTTGCCTCTTAGACAGATGCACTCTGACTTCGAAGGAAGCTCCCAATTAGTAGACATGATTTTTGGGTAGGCAGTGGGTCTATTCTTGTTTTCCCTATAACAGGGCCCGGAACCCAAAAGGGGATTAGGTTTAATATTCTTACTTTACAAAAATTAACTCTATCTTTAATGTCAGAAATTTGAAAGGTGAGAAATGGGGGTCGGGGGAGGGGGAAGAGGGGGACGAAAAGTTTAACTAATTTTTGTTCTCTCCATTCTCTCCGGTCTTTAATGCTATTAATAATTGTTTCTTTCACAGAGATTATCTAAGTGTTAATGCCATTAATATTTACTTCTGTTACAAGTATTAAATGAAGCTTTAATGTTGTTAATATTTTACAAAGATTAATGTAATTAATATTTACTTATTTTACAAAGATTAACTCTAGGCTTAAGTGCCAATAATATTTGTTTCTTTTACAAAGATTAAGTAGAGGTTTCATGCCAATAGTATTTTTTAACATAGATTACACACAATTTTATGTCATTATTATTTGCTTTTTCTGCAAAGATTAGTGGAATATTTAATGTTAATAATATTTGCTTCTGTTACAAAGGTTAACTGAAGCCTTAAATTCATTAATATGGACTTATTTTACAAAGATTAATTGTTGCTTCAATGTGTTTTAATATTTGCCTAATCTGCAAAGATTAATTGACACTTTAACATCAATATTTTTTTTAACAAAGATTAATTAAAGCTTTAATGTCAAAAATGTTTACTTGCTCAACAAAGATTAACTGAATCTTTCATGTCACTAATGTTTGCTTATTCTACAAAGATGAACTGAAGCTTTAATGTCAATAATATTTGCTTAATCTGCAAACATTAATTGAAGCTCTAACATCATTAACCATGGCTTATTTTGCTAGATTAACATTAATATTTGCCTAATCTGCAGAGAATAATTTAAGCTTTCATATAATTAATTTTTGCTTAATCTCCTTGACGTCATTAATAGTTGCCTTTTTGTGTTCAATATTAACTGAATGTCCAGTGTCATAAATGTTTACTTATTCTACAAAGATTAACTGAAGATTTTATAACATTAATATTTGCTTTTTCCATAAAGGTTAGTTGAAGCTTTAATGTCGTGAATATTGTTTTTCTTTACAAATTGAAGCTTTAATATCATTAATTAACTAACAAGACAAACAAAGGGACAGGGTTACAAATAGAAACATTTGAGAGAACGTTGGAATAAGACCGCGTCTGGATTATATTGACAGAGAAAGAATGAAATGGTTCAGCCATCCAATGAGAAAGCAGCCAGGCCAAACTCAATATGAGACTTTTTACAGCAGAACGCCAGGAAGGAAGGCGAGAGGAAGACCAAGAAAGGGTAGATAAAGGGTGCAGCTGAAACCTGTGAAGAGATGAACAAGTCCATCACTCAGTCCACCTGAGAAGTACAAGACAAATACAGAAAAACGTGACACTGGGCTACAACCTGGTATCAGAGAGGCAACAACAGAAGAAGGAGAACGTAATGAATATTTGTTTATTTCACAGACGAGCTACATTTTGAAATGTTTTCTTGTTCACAGATGATGTGGATTCTGACCTCAGCACAGCTGATGGTGACAACAGGAAAACTGAAGTTAGAACACGAAAAGAGGAATAAGGTCAAGAAGAAACAATAAAGGTGGTTTATTACTGGTTCATTTGCTGCGGGTCTGTACAAAACTGGTTCATCTGGTGTTGGTCTGTACAAAACTGGTTCATCTGGTGTTGGTCTGTACAAAACTGGTTCATCTGGTGTTGGTCTGCACAAAACTGGTTCATCTGGTGTTGGTCTGTACAAAACTGGTTCATCTGGTGGGGGTGTGTACAAAGTGGTTATGAATTTCATATTGACTGTATATTGATGAAATTCTAGAATTTCAGATTTGTTTGTGAAAACTTGTTCACTGTGAAAATGACATGAAAAAAAAAAAAAAAAAAAATACTTGAAAGTGAATGAGAGAGCGCTAGCAGTGTATTCAAATGTGATGTACATAAGTGAGTCCTGGTCACTAAACAGTTCAGTCTTCTGTGTTTACTCTTAAAGGGGCAGTTTGTACAGTGTGTTGTGGTTTGCAGCAAGGCTATGATATCTGCAACTTTCGACCCACTACATCCAGTTTCAGCAAATTCTTAACTTGTTAAGGTGAAGTGAGTGTATCCTCTTTTGTCCACAGATGTGAGCCCTAAAACCCACACAAGGATTGAACAGATAAGTTAGAGACTACACATAAAGGCTGTGAGAAGAAAAGGGCCACCCAGTCTCTATCAGATGTGAACAGAGTCTAGCCAGAGATGGCCACCACTTACTTGACCAGCATGGGCTGGTCAGTATTCTGGGCCTCAGGACAGGACATAACAAACTTAACCAGCATATGCACAGGCTTCGTCTAAATAGTTCAGCTTTGTGCCCTTGTGGGCTGTGTGTGCAGACTACAGAACATGTCTTCAAGAATTTCCCTTGTCTTCTTCGTCTGCCTTTCTAGCCCCCAATGGAGCATAGGCCCTCAACCAACTTATGCCAAGTCGTTCTATCCTTCGCAATTGCATGTCTTCCCCATCTTTCTAACTTCGTTCTCCAGCTCTCTTCTCCATGTGTTTTTTGGCCTTCCTTTATCCCTATGCCCCTGTGGGTTCCAATGCAAAGACATTCTAGTTATGCTGTTCTCCTGTTTTCTCAGTGTGTGTCCTATCCAACACCAGCGTCTTTTCCTAACCTCTTGGTCCACTGCAGCCTGTTTAGTTCTCTCCCAAAGTTCTACATTAGTTATTCTATATACCATTTAATTCCCTCTATTCTGCTCAGGTACCAGTTAATGAATGTCTGTAATTTATTAGTAATTGTCTTAGTTGTTCTCCATGTTTCCGCCCCATACAATAGTACTGATTTGACATTGGAATTAAAAATTTTTAGTTTAGTATTTCTTTTAATTTCTTTTGACCTCCACAAATTCCCTAGTGCTATGAAAGCCCCTCTTGCCTTTTGTATTCTTATTTTAATTTCCCTTGTACAGCCAGAATACTGACCCACTGAGTCACCACTGCCACAAAGTTGTATTGAACTAAAAAGGGGACTCCTAGAAACAGTCAAGTTTATCACAAAGAACTTGTCTGTATAAATCAGAAAGCAAACACAAGAAAAAGAAGAAGAAACACATAAAGGTTACAAAATATCACATCTTGCCTAATGTATGGGCACACTTGGCAGTTGTCCTGGTGCAGCTTATTTTATCAGTAATTGAAATGTTTCTTCTTCTTCCTCTGAGTGGTTTATGTAGGCACGACTTAGTGGACTGCTTTATCAAACAGCGTGTAATGCTGCACCGTGAGAAAGCCTTCCCATTGTAGGGGAGAAAAGAATAGACCCACTGTCACCCTTCTTCTTTGTTCATTGGCTGTAAGCTCCGGCGGAAATTCCTGGTTGTTTGTCCATTTCGACTTTGGCTTTGTGGCAGGGTCTGAGGTTTGCGTGTGTGTACATGGATTATTTGTGTGCAGTAGTTTGTTACTTGCCTCTCGGGCAGATGCACTCCGACTTCGAAGGAAGTTTCCAATTAGTCAACTCCTATGACATGTTTTTAGGTGAGGAAGCGGGTCTGTTCTTCTTTTTCCCACTATGGGGCCACAGAACCCACAAGGGAAACTGTCGCCCTAATAAGCCAATCGTAAACGTAGCCCAATTAGGGATGTTTCCATTTGAATTTGGAGTGCATCTGCATGGGCGGCAAACAAACCAGCAGTCTGCATACAAATAAGTTAGATCTGTAAATTGGATTTGTACACAAAACTCAGGTTCTGAAACAAGACTAAAGTCCAGAAGCTGGCTACCAGTATAATCCTAGCTTTCTGCCAGAGTTTACAGCCGATGAACGCAGAGAAGTGGAAGTAGAACTAGTAATACTAGAAGTAGTATTTTTTATATCTGTCTTCTTCTTCTTTTGCCATCTCACTGTTACCAGGTTGTAACCCGGCATCTGTGAGTGCCGGTAAATAAATAATTTCTTATGTTATTTCATTTGGCTGCAGGGA